ACACCTACAGGTCAGTAATTTATTTCTGAAACACACACACACATTAAGATTTTGTAGAAAGGTTAAAATATTGAAACGGATCACGAAGAATTTGATTTAATAGGTAAACCCAGGAAGAGAAATAAATTGATAATATATAACCCATAAAGATTTGGTGAAGAATTTGATTGTTATTTCTTTTGTTTATTTGTTAGCTTTAATCTTTTCATTTGATTCATTGGTTGTAATTATTGTTCTTTTGGAGTGATTACTTCTTAATAAAGGTCAACGTGTTGGTGGGGGATTTGGGGGAATTTTTGGTTGATGACTAAGAACTAGGTTACTTTGTGAATTGGGGTTCTTGTTAGTGGGATTATGGATGTGAATTTGCTATATTGACCTAGTTTGATTGTTGATTAGTGGATTCTTACTGGATTTGTTGTTGGATTACTGATTTAAGTAGCTATGTTGCTAGTTAGTGTTTGTTTGTTGTTACTCGTGATGACACTGGTGCCTGGGTAAGCTAGCGTGCACCTCGAGTATTCCACCGGGTATTTGCTACCTTTGACCACCATAGGTATCAGGTAACTTTGCCCACCAGGCTTATGCCGATGGGAATAAATCACTTTGTGTTTTTATCCTCTGTTAGGATTTGAACCATAGACCTCATGGTTCTCCGTTCATTGACCACTTGGCCACAACATTGTGGTGGATGACTGAAAAAAACCTTTAGTGTGTGAGTTCGTGTTCTTCTTAATGTGACTGGCTGTGAAATTATGCTATAATGTTTGTGCGTCGATGATTATTGGGTTCTGTGTTGTGGTTGCTAATGTTTATATTGCTAGTATCATATTGGCTTTTGTTACATTATGTTGCTATTATAATTTAAGGATTGTTATAGAGTTTCTTGACATAGCAATATAGCATCAGGAGTGTTGAGCTAGTTTTTTGCCAACTGGGGTGGCTATTAGATTTGTGGCGATGCTTAGTGGATTGATCATCAAATAGTCCCTAATATAAGTAGAGTTGCTGAATTGTTGAATTTTGAGTTTAAAGGTCATGAAGACAATAATGGACGCTCATTAAATAATTTTGTATTGAAATGTATCTTAGCTTAGTCACTGGGGAAGTTGTGGATAACCATTCTATTCATCTTCTTGTTAAATTATATTTTTATTTTCTCCATTTTGAGCTCTCACCGTACCACACAAATCGCAATTTTCTTTTGGCTGAGGTTGACTGGTTAATTTTGTTCTTGCTTCCTACCTGCTTCTTCCTTTTCTTTTGAGCCCGTGGTGATGAAGTGTCATGCTTTTCAAGTTGAGAGAAGACATACTTACCATTCTACTTTTGTTGCACTTTGAACAGAAGAACTGCTTAGACTTCTCATATGACGCTGGTGCAGTCCCTGAATTAACTGGTTGATTGTGAAGAGAAGAGGAGAATTTTTTATTCTGTTGAAGTCAGACTTCTGTTTAAGACTTTTGCATCCCATGTTTCCAATACTTACCTCTCAGTCAGTGGACTTAGATGGCCAGTTCCTTGATAGGGCTACACCGGAAAAGCCAAACTAACCAGTTCCAATTATTAATGGAGCAAGCAAATAACCGTAGCAATGATGAGCATGTCATTGACATAACGAGTAGCAGCGATGCATCCTCATCAAGCAACCCCCATGATAGACCAGTCAATAACTTGCTGCATGAACAAGCTGAAGATCAGCCATCAACAAGCACAGCAGTGCCTGTCTCACAACATGCATTTTCTTCTGCTAATAGATCAAACTTGAGGAACTCATCATTTGTTCGAAGAGGAAATGGGCGTAGCCGCCATCGGAGTCCTCTGAATTCCTTGCTATGGATATCCATTGAATTAGTCTTGACAGTGAGCCAAATAATTGCAGCAGTTGTAGTGTTGGCCATGTCAAGGGATGAGCACCCACGTGCTCCACTATCCCAATGGATCGTCGGTTATGCATCTGGGTGTGTAGCAATTCTCCCTCTTCTCTATTGGCGTTTTCGTCACAGAAACCAGAATTCAGATCAGGATTCATCTCAGCAGCAACAGGGTGCTTCGCAGACTGAACTCTCAGCCAGACCTTCATCGAGTACAAGGAGTTCAGAAGTTGAAGGTCGTCAGACAACTGGTACAGCTTCTATAGGTGGTCAAAGTAGTGGACTACAGAGCAGAAGGTGCGTTCTATTTCTTTTCCATATATGGGAAGTTCAAAAATATCATATAATAATTCACATAAATTGCAATAGAAAAGAAATAAGCGTAATGGTGTTGTTCACTTGGTAAAACTTGTCCTTGTTAAACCACTCCTCTAACCATGATACCTTTCTCAAAAAAAAAAAAAAAATAAAAATAAACCACCCCTCTTAAGTCTTATAAATTTCAAAGCCGGAATTTTCATTTCTGGTATGTTTTAGCTTAACTATGCACTTCGTATGCTGTTGCAAGACTGGGCATGTGTAATGGTGTACAGTCCCTTGATCTGTTGTACACCACTACGATCTGACTTGGAATGACTTGGTAAAACTTGTCCTTGTTAAACCACTCCTCTAACCATGATACCTTTCTCAAAAAAAAAAAATAAATAAATAAATAAACCACCCCTCTTAAGTCTTATAAATTTCAAAGCCGGAATTTTCATTTCTGGTATGTTTTAGCTTAACTCTGCACTTCGTATGCTGTTGCAAGACTGGGCATGTGTAATGGTGTACAGTCCCTTGATCTGTTGTACGCCGCTACGATCTGACTTGGAATGATTAGCATGTTGGGGCTGAAAATGGGCATCATTTACCAACTGAAAGAGGGAACATGTACCCATAGCATGAATTTTGGAATATTTATATATTTGAGAAGCAATATGTTAATTTCAAAATTGAGTATCATTGTCAGGTAGATAACATTCATGACAAAGTAATTCAGTCTGATATTTTGGGAAATATGCAACTTGTTTTGACCTGTGGGAAGTGTGTTCCTTATGCTTTCTGTTTTTTGGCGAGTGAATTTGCTTGATTGAAGTGTTCCAGGTCAATATATTGAGTGGCTTTCACAGATGGCCAATATTTCTGGAACCAAGGACATGACCATATTTGTAACTTAATAATGCTTTTGGCACTGATCATGTTCTTCAACTAATTGTGACCGATACTTAAATGTCTAATAGATGTTCTGATGACAATAGCTGCCTCACAATGCTCTTCCTTTTCCATTATTTTGCTTTCATCTGGTATTGGAAACTTGTATTGAAATTAATGTACAAGATGGCAGGAGGGTGTGCTGTTGAATTGAGTACTAAAGTAGCTCGTTTCCCTATTGCAGGTTAAAGGCACTCGTTGACTACTTTAAAATGGCACTAGATTGCTTTTTTGCAGTGTGGTTTGTGGTTGGCAATGTCTGGATATTTGGCGGACACTCTTCTTCCTCTGAGGCTCCTAACTTGTACAGGTGATGTTTCATTAGTGTTCTCATTTTGGCGTATATATGTACTTTTCTCTCTTCTCTACCAGCATTCTAGTTGCTCATGTTTCTATTTATTCTCAGGTTGTGTATAGTATTTCTAACCTTTAGCTGTATCGGGTATGCGATGCCATTTATTCTATGTGCAACAATCTGCTGCTGCCTCCCCTGCATTATTTCAGTCATGGGCTTCAGAGAAGATCTGACTCAAAACAAAGGAGCCACACCAGAATCAATTAATGCTCTTCCGACCTATAAATTTAAGGTAAAGAAAAACAAAAGTGGCTACAAAGAGGCTGCTGAAGGTGGGATTGTGGCTGCAGGAACAGAAAAGGAGCGTGTCATATCAGGAGAAGATGCGGTAAATTTTTCCCGTTTTGACATAGTTTTTTCTGGTTTATTTGTGTCCGTTTTAGTGACAAAATTCTCTTTTGAAGAATGAAGAACTTTGCAAGCTTGAACCTCCACCATCCTCCATTTGAAATGGGGGAAAAGAAAGAAAAAAGAGAATTATTTATCCTACCAATAACTCCCCCTCCTCTCTCTCTCTCTCTCTCTCTCTCTCTCTCTCTCTCACTCTCT